ACTCCTTGGAGAGCTCGAAAGAAGCATAAGAGTTGCCTGAGGCCATAGCCGAGGGCAACTCTAGCTTCTTGAGTGCTCTCCAAACTTCCCACGTGCTCCACAACTCGATAATGCACAGCTAAAAGCATGAACCAATTGTTTTATAACCGCCGGAATTTTGCATCAAATCCGATGCGAAAAACCGACAACGATATCAGAAGCGAATCATGACGGCGCCAATGCCGAGTCTCCTTTTTCGTTGTTTTTCTCGTTTTCTGGCTCATTTAAGAACTCTAGCCCAAGGGAAAAGGTTGGAAAATTGTCTTTGTGCCAAAACTACAGAATACAGGGCCACTTATTTACATCTCATTGAATCACAATGCATCCTTTTGTTTTCTGCCTCATTCTTCAAAGCATGCTGACAAGGTGGACCGCAATGGCCCTGTATTCTGTAGTTGCTCCTGTCTTTGTTTTGGGACTGGTGGGCTGAGTCTCTGTTTGTGTCCATTATTGTTGCAAAATATATTATTTTTCCCCTGCACTTACAATGGCTGCTCGCGTGAAAAAAAATTTCTGGCGAAGCAATTTGCTCACGCTATCAGAGTGCACTATCGGGATTTTAAGTATGCTTACGTATACTGAATTTGATTGTGCGTCTCTGCTAGCTATGTTATCAATATACTTATTCTCCCCATACTGTTCTCCATACATTTCCTGAGGTGCTGAGAGGTGCTGCTAGAGAGAATTTGTTAAACAATCAACAGCTTCTTTAGTTGGTGATCATTTCCTTTATTCTCCTGACCTTAATGTGTCATTCAGGGGTGATATTGTAAGGAGAAATTAGATGCTACATGTAGTCCCTTGTTGGAGTCAATCAGTTATTGAGTCCATCAGTCAATCGGTTAATACAACTTGTGTTTTTCAGTGCTTCAGATGATATTCCTCATGCAGATGAAGTACGCACCTTGATTAAAGACATCTGGGACTTGAGAATTGCCAAGCTTAGAAAGTCTATTGACATTATGGTCAGTCAGCAAGAAGTTTATGCCAGAGTAAGTTTTGTCCTGTGACATGGTAGGGGTTTCTGGGTGAAGTGTAGCAAAGTGAGATCGTAGTTTTGTGTGGATGAACACAGTAACGTTAGAATTTCCACCTGCACTGTTTCAAAATTTTAGTGTGCACACACACCAGCAGGCCACAAAATCTCTGTATAAACAAACACTTATAAATTAAAGAAATAGATACAATGCGAAACTTGGTGAATGTGTAACCTGCAGTGCAGGTAAGTCTAGGCTAAAATGTTGATTTGCAATAGTTTGATCATTTTCAATTGATATTATTTGTTTGTTTTCACAGTTAGATGATTTATCACTGATGGAAATTAATGTGATTCGCCCATTCCTCACACAAGCTCTAGATCATATGCATAACTTGAGGTGTCATGTTGCAGAAAATCCAAGTAATGCTTAACAGAAGATTGTAAAATGTTTTTGATTGTGACTGAACAGAAGGTTGTGAAAGCAACACATGACAGGTGTCTTTATGAGAATGTCCATCTACAAACACCACTAGAAATACAGTAATAGCATTTATTTTTACTGCATTAGTTTTCAAACAATACAATTAGGTCCCAGGGCTCGACACTAACTTTTCAACTTACTATAGCGAAGTGGCTAGTGACATCTGAGGTGTTACAACAATTTCAGTTTGTTTACTAGCCTAACTGGGTAGTGGAAATTGAAAACTGCCAGCCAAAACTGAATTTTTACTAGTCTGTGGTTAGTGGGCTATTTAGCCCATCTAGCCCCATAGGAGTGTGTGGTTTTTCTGAAAATGAAAGCGTAACCAAGCTTGTAAATACACCGAAATACTGATCATGAGATGCTGTCAGTCTGGAATAAATTTTTGGTGATTAAATTTGTAGTGGAAGTGTATTCTGGAAGTGGTGTAATTAATAGCAACCAAGCATCTTTTTTAAGGCTGGATTCTCTTTAGCGAGTGACTTTTGAAAAGAAATATTTCACTTTTCTGGGGACTCTGTGAGTGAATTGCATTCAAACTAATCAATGGCAAGGGTACAAATTGATCAGAAAAAAGTTGAGGTACAATTACCAAGGACAGGCAAATTTGCTGCAGATTCTGTCAATTAAATTTTTCAGCTAAGAAATAAGGTCAGTTAGACTGCAAATGGCTGGAAGCTTGAGAAAATGCAAATGATCAAGTCACAATTGGTTTTAGTTTGCATCTTATTGGTTGAGAGGGTAGAGCGAGTTTTCTAGACCAATCCCAAATTACTTCAGAGAATCAATTGTAAATTTCTTTAAACTGCAGTGGTCTAAACTGTGCCACTCTGAGGTTTTCTAACAGCTGAATCCAAGAAATTTTGCTCAACTTCAGGAAGTACTCAACATCTTACAGTCTACTTTTTTTTTTCACCTGGTCAACGCCATTTTCTGCGTGCTACAGACCCATCCCATATGTTATGATTTTTCCAAAGAAAAGGAATAAAAATGATGAGGAACATGTTAACATGGACTCTTACCTCCTGTAAAAGGTGGTGAGGGTCTGTTTTGTAAGCATATTTCTGTTGATCAAGTGCACACCACTTCTCAAAACATTTTACTGCCACCTTGGATTTGAAAAGCAGAGAGAGGATTGGGAAAGAATTATATTTCTACTACGAGGTTAACAGGAGAAAGCATTAACCCTTGAACTCCCACGAGTGATTAACAAGTAACTTCTTTAATATCCTATCCATTGTTCAGCAAACGAGTAATGCAAATACTAAAATTTATTATGTAGAAGTTATCTTGATCT